ATAAAAAAAGAAGCAATTTTATGTTGAGTTTTTTCCCCCTGCTCTACTGAAACCATACCGAACTGTGACGTCAAAACAGAGGTATGTACTGAACTGTCATGTTTGTGTACCATTACACCCCTATTTCCCAACCCCATTAGATATAAATTCAATCTAAGGTAGTAAAGATGTGTTATATTTCAGGTTTGGTTTGGCTGGGCTGCAGCAGCAGTGTGAGGAATATTCTGGAAGTGTGGGGGAAAACCCAAGAGAGGAATCTGAAGGCATATTTCCAGCACCTGAGCCTCATCTCGGGGACCAAGAAGACCAGAACTTGGCAGAAAGCAACTTCTTGGAGCTCCTCCAATCAATGTGGCAGCACGGGGACAGCGAAGAAGAGGATGATTTCAAAGAGACTGCTGTAGAGGAAAGAGACATGGAAGAGGAGCGAGAGAGAGAAGATGGAGAAAAAGAGGACCGGGTGGATGAGGAAGAGCTTGACGAGATCTATGAGTTTGCAGCAACACAAAGGAAGATAGAGACGATGTTGGAGGCTGCGACCGAGACCGAAGAAGCGGGAGATGCAAATACACCTCTCGGAAATGAGAAGAAGGATGAGACAGAAGACAGGAACGAGACAGAATCCCTCTTAGAGAAATCTGCCGGCAGTTGCCATAGTAACAAACAAGGCGTGGATGGGATGGAGGCTGCCATGGTAACAAGTCCAACAGAAGAAACCCTTAAAAACCCCAATTCGGAGACCGAGAGAGTTTGTTTGATTTCAGAATTAGATGAAAACAGAGACCCGGATGCCAGTCTAGACAAGAGCTATGACTGTTTATTCTCCCAGTCTGTAGGGGAATACATGGAACCATCACAGACGCCAGCGTCCTGCTCTCAGCAACAACGTAACAAGCCATCGCACACACTACAGCAAAACACACCCGCCCCGTTTCGTCCTTCATGTGTTGGTGAGGTGATCGACCTGTCTATAAGCCCTCCACCAAGCTCAGGTGTGTCAGGTGAGACTAACTTCCCCATGCCTGGAGTGTCTCCTGTTCCTCATGAGGGTGAACATACAGGCAAATCTCCACTAACAAAAGACAATTCAGTATGCCAGAAAATCGAAAACCCCGCTTCTCCTCCAGAATCTCAAAGCAAACAGGTTGAGCTCATTGTTCTCTCAGATTCTGGTGATGAAATGGATGTAGACAGCGGCCGCAATGCTGCTACCACTAAATGTGCTTTGACTCCTCAGTCTCCTTTCGAATCTCCCTCAGAACCTCTTCAGACGTCCACAAGCTATGCTTGCAAAGTCACAGAGAACAGTTTCAAAGAATCTGGATCCCAAGGCCATGCCGGCAAACGGGTAGATGCTTCCAAGGAGGTGTCGACTGATACAGAAGCCAGATCTGACCGATCAGAGCACTGTAGCCCCGGGATTGCAAATGAAAGCGTGTTTGATGGCTCTGCCGAGGTTTCATGGCTGATTCCAGCCACTCCGGTACCATCCACACGCTGTAGCTCTGCCCAGACCTGCATCAGCATGCGCCGAACCCAACTCTTCCCCAAGTCATCGTCCTCCTCTTCCTCTTCCTCTGTCTCGGGTGCTTTGAAACCTGCTAGCTTTGATTCTTCAAGCAGCAGCTGCATAAAAGAGAAGCCGGTATCCTTGTCTGAATTGCCCAAATCAGATCTGAGTCCCTCTAAAGAACGTCATAGCACTGATACAGGTCGCTCTCCAGGTTATCAGAGACCACTTCACCATCTGAGACTGTCTCAGGTTCCTTCTACAGATGTTTCTGATGGCTCCCACATTGGCAGCATCATGGGACATCCAACCCAGGGTGTCTCCAAGCCCTCAAGTAGCACTCCTCTCCATTCAGACTCTTCCTTACACCGTCAGATCCCATTTGGCTCCCCTGTGGTTGATGACTGCGAGGTTCGTCTCAGGGATAGTAGAGGTAATTCTAGATCCTTCGGTAGTCAGGGAAAAATTGGCTTAGTGTCTCTACAACCGAGTTCTTCTTCCCCTAGTAAGAAACCTGAGAAAAAGCACAGTAGCTCTCTTGAGCAGGGATGCTCCAGTCCGTCCCTGAACTCTCAAAGCTACAGTCGTCCAGAAAGATGGACAAAGAGAGAGAACGATGGGGTAGAGCGAATGGAATTGGGAGAGAATCCAAATCAAAGTGATGAAGAATTGGTGGATATTGCGGGAAACTCATTTAGTGACATGGATGGGTCTGGAAGAGTGGGAGAAGAGAATCCAAATCAAAGTGTCGATGAAGTGGTGGATATTGCAGGAAACTCATTTTGTGGCATGGACGAGCCTCCTATAGCGTTTGATGACTCCTGGGGTTTGGATGGAGGAGTTGGAAGCCAGAAGCCCTGCTTTAGTCTACGGCTTGACAGCAGCGGAGGTACAGTCAGTCCACCAGGTCTCGAGGGTAAGGGACCAATGTCCACGTCTCCTCTTGCATCTGGAGCTTGTACCAAAACTCCTGATCCAAGTCTAGGTCCATTTAATCACAGCCTACCTGATCCTGACATGTGGGATGATTGGGAAGAAGAGGAGGTGGCTTCCCTTCCTCTTTCTCAGAGATTGAAAGCTCCCTCTGCCAAGAGAGCTGCCGAACTAAAGACTCCCGGTAAGACAAGTTGTCCTCCTTGGTATGTTAATTATGTTTACCAGGAGCCCGGAACTCTAGATCTGTTAATTATGCATTGCATTTAGAAAGACTTTTTTGTTTTAGAAAACTTTCTTAAAATCAGCTTTAACTTTCTTCACAGTTGCTTGCAGAAAGAGGAATAAAGGACCGCTGGTGCCCATCACTCCCATGCCAGGCTTTTCCAATATGGACACACCAGAGCTCAAAAACAGACTCAACAGGTGAGCATAAAAAGAAGATATAGGCATTATAATGTTTAAAACATTTATTACTGCCATTGCATATCACAATAACAAACCAACAAACTATCTAAAAACTACCTTTCAATGACTTTTAACTAACTGGTCACAGATTCATTTTTAGTGCATGTATGAAGTTAGTTCTCCTCAGGGAGTTCAGTAGCAAAGTAAGTTTTTTTGCATAGTTTAAATGCTTTGTCTTCATTTTGAGTTAATGTATCAGTGGTTTTATAATGTAAACTGTGAAATGGTTTGCTGTAACACATTTTTTAATTGTAAGTAGTGATTTTTAAGAAATACAAATGTTTATCAAAATGTGATTATCACATTACAGAAAGTTAAAATGTACTTTATACATTTTATTTTTGATCCCTTAGGCCTGGCTGTTTTCTGTTGTAGACATTAAGCATCATGTTTTCTTAATTATTCTGCAGAAGTTAAAATATTTAGTACTTAATATTCATATATCTTATAATCAAAATCTTTCTCCATCTAATACTCCCTTACATTGACAGTGGGGTATTATGAAATTAGTTTAGACCAAATTAACTTTACATAAAGCTTAAGCATTCACAGTATTCAACATGCAAATGAGAATTAAATCCAGATGTGTGTGTTGTGTAACTCCGGTGTCACAAAGCCAAAGAAACGCATTCAGTAACACAGAGATGCGAAATGTTTTATTTTTTTTGGTCCAGGTTCGGCGTGCGTCCGCTGCCCAAGAAGCAGATGGTTCTGAAGCTGAGAGAGATCCATCAATACACCCACCAGCTGCAGAGCTCAGAGTCAGAGGAGGAGACCTCTGGACCCCAACGCCCACCGAATGCCTCTGCTCCGCTCTCCTTTAAGCAGCCTGCAGTGCCCCCTGCTGTCTCACCCGTGAAACTGCCACCAAGTGAAGAAGATGAGCTTTTATCAGCCTCTCAAAACTCAAATACATCCTCCACTGCGGAGTCTGACAGGTACAGCTCTTACACGACTATATACATAATTAATACTACAAGGAAATGTAGTTCAACCCATTTCTTCTTCCCAGGTCGAACCCAGAGCTGTGTGTGTCCGAAGACGACGACTCGGACAGCGAGGGCATCACGGCGTCTCAGGCTGTTGTGCGTGAGAAGGACAAACTCCTCGCAGTTCGTCAGTTCATCCGATCCGACCCCAAGCTGTACGCGCGAGTGCTGCAGTACCAGCCTCTCTCCCTGGCGGAGCTGCGGTCCAGCTTGAAAGCAGCGGGCATCAGGTTAGGTGCTGCTAAACTGCTAGACTTCCTGGACTCTCAGTGCATTACTTTCAGTACGGCCAAACAGGGCCAGAATGCATCTTCCCGCAGGAAACGACGTGTGAAAACGACAACCAGTGGCGGTGCAGCCGGAAGAGGAAGGAGAAAAGCAGCTAAGCCCAATGGAGGAGTTGCAATAAAATAATGTGGTTAAACTACATGATTTTAAGAATAAGCTGTTAAAGGACAATAATGGATTTCATCTTTTCAACTAAACAAATGTCTGACACACTCCGTGTGTCACTATTTCAGTGACAGGATTGAAACTAACTAAAATGCATTTATGTTTGTTTGTTTTTTTTTGTACAATGTTTGAAATGAAAATATTTTATAATTTTTTTTTTTTAATGAATTCAATTTAATGTCTGGATAATGTAATTAAGAGACATCTCTTAATGTGTCACATGTTTGTATACAAGAATAGGTTCATTTTAAGCTGTTTTATGTTGTGAATTTCATCCAATAGTTTTAGAGATTTCTTAAACCAAAATGTGCCTCTCAAACAAACCCCTTGCCCAAAAAAAAAAAAAGTTGCAAAAACAGTCAATAAATGTGCAGTCCACCAATTTTTCATGAATAAAATTAAAATTGAAAAAACAATCAAGACTTTTTTGCATTGTGACAATATTTTTTCATGACAAACAAGTATATTTCACACAACTAACATTAGCCTGTAATGCAAAAAAAAAAATTATATTACAATATATAATTATATATGTATCCAGAATTTTTTTTCTTGTACTTAATTACTTCTTTTTTTTTTTAAATCACAATGCAAAAATTATAAAACAAAATGATAGAAACTAATACATAAAAAATATAACCCATAAATATCTCTGCACCCCATGATATCAAAATGTGACCAACACTGAAAAAAATCACATACCAAAGATGTCTTGAAAAACTTTTACTGGACTTTTTTTATTTGTTTTATAACATCATTTTTTGCAAAGATCTGCCGAGAAAAACAGACATCTCCCATTCTAACAAAGAAAGAAAAATCTCTGATCATCTTCCGTGTGCATGAGAGAGAGTCTGGGTCCGGCTGGGCAAACAGTTCCACAGGAAGGGCTGAATTCATGCAGTGTGCAAATCTCTTGCCTGATCACCTGAGCTCATCAGGAGAGTCCGGCTGCACTGCCTCAGTCTGGACCGGTCAGCCACATCTCCTCATGCCCCATCATGCACCTGTCATGACAGGTTGGCAATGTTGGCCAGGAAACGCTGGGCCCACCACTCATCGAGATCAATAGGCACAAAATCTGAAAAACAGAGAGACTGGGTGAGTTCTTTGAGATCGTATCATATTTGAATTAAACAGCAGCACACAAAATATATGGACTTTTTTTATTTTGTAGTGTGGAAGCAGCTTTTCTTCACAACAGATCCTTTTGTGCTCCAGAAACATTAATAGGGTGAGTAAATGACAATTTTTTTTATTTTTAAATGAATAATTTGAATTTGTGTATTCTAAAGACAGAAGAGGCCTTCAAAATAGAGAACAAGTCGGCAAAATAGAGGCATCAGGTCTCGTCAGCGCTTAAAGAAAGTAATCAGGACAGTAGTCCCAGACTGACTCTTCATGCCGGGATTGGGGCTTCTCTCCGCGTACTGCACCGGGCCTTTCCTGTTCTCCGGCTGGGATCCCTCTCCGAGCTTCTGTTCCACCTCCTGCCAAGCTGCAATCATAAGATATTGTATCAGTATAAAATGACAAATTATATATACAGTGAAAATACATAATATACAATTAACTAGTTCGTTATGCTTTGCTCAAGTAGTTTATCATGTAGTCTATATCATGGTTTCTGTGGGTCTTAAAGGTCTTCGTTCAATCTTCCACAAAATGAGGGCCTTAAATCAGAACATAAAGTCTATAATTCATAGTCATGGCATTAAATGTTGCATGCATTGCAAAAAAAAAAAAGGGACAAACATCTAAACATCCTTAAATCAAGATACATTTACTTGAGATGCAAAATTAAGTCTTGTTTTCTAAAAATAAATGAATAAAATTGTGCGTTTATGCTTAAATCAAATGACTCGTATATGTCAGTGGAGTATGAAACTTGTTTTCCCTTTGAATTAAGTTGCTACGCCCACTGGCAGATATTTGTTTTTGTTTTAAACTCGTTTCATTTTGATCAATTTATCATAAAACAAGACTTGCTATTGTGTGTCATTTTGCAGTGTCATCAGAAGATACAGTTTAAGTTATTTTTATACCATACATGTGCTTTTTTTGTAAAGCGAGTACAAAAAAAAGTTACGGAAATCTGTAGGAAGCTGTATTTCAAACTTTAATGTGTTGCTAATTCATTGTGCTTTCTAGACATTTACATTCAGAAAAACTATTGACGTATTATGCTCCTTAAGTTTTCTTTAACTGGTCTTAAAAGGCTGTTGGAAAAAGTCTTGCATATATCTTCATAAAATCTGCAGAAACTCTTTATATATTGCTCTCATGTAGATTCAAATTTGCAAGTCATGGTGATTTGTTAGTGAATCATTAATTTGAGTTGATTCTTTTCAATGAATGGCTTATTGTGAAGCCTGAACGATTCATTTGTGAACAAGTCTGTGTCTGAATGTCTTTTAAAATCCTTCATTCAGCGATGAATCAAATTAATAGAGTGGTATACAAACTAAACAGACATGTTTTGTCCTAATCTGCATCGTATCCCAAAATGCTACTTGTGAAAACACTACAGATGCGATGTATCACAACAAAACAACAGTTTAGATCTAGAAAAACATGATCTTCTCATTGGCAACTTGGCAGAAGTAAAAACTTCTGGACACCTTTTACCAATTATAATTGCTTCCTCTACACTCCCTAAACCGGTTGCAAGATTTCACCGGATCGCACGGCTCTCTTCTATTGCCTGTGAAGCAGTTTTAGAAAACATTAAGCCTCAGTTGACTAGCCTGTCATTGTACAAAAGAGCCTAAAAACTGCCCTTGAGGGCCATTGCATCAGCCGCTGGAGGTGGAGCCTGGCCTGCACACAAACACCCTCCTCCTGAAGATAAGAACTGGCCTTTTTCACACAAACTCTGGTGAACTTACCTCCCCAAGTACATTTATGAGAGCCTGAACCCTAGTCATTCACAACTTTAGTTTGCACATGATTAAACTCTTGGACTTTGATAAAGAATCAGACAAGCTGCAAAGCTGTGACAACGTCACGTTACTTGACAGACTTGAATCCAGTTGGTTGCTCTTCAAAGTTCATTAAGGTCATGGCAACTACTTGCCCCAATCTTAGCCCTCCTCAAGGTCTTAGTGGTGAAGGATAAAACAATACTGGTGTTCTGGAAAATGAACTCACCTTCATAAACAAACCGAACATTTTCCTCGTGTGCTGGGGTGAATCCCTCAGTAGTATTTTCAGCTTTTGGAGAGGTTGATCTGTGGAACCGCTTTCCGTTCAGCCGGTGAAACACAATCTTAGGCGCTGGTGAACTGCAAACAATAGATCAATATTGGTTTTCAGTAATAAGTTCTTGGATTTTTACATTTGGTCTCCTTTAATTCCTACTCCTTTTAACAGTGCATTCATCTCTCATTTACATAGTTTAATTTTAAATAAAGGAATTGTATATTAATTAAAAAAAAAAAAAAAATTATTCACATGCATTACGTGGAAAAGAGTACATTCTTTAACATGTAAAAATATTCATACAGGATTCTTAACGACTAAACGCGCATTTTTGGGTGAACTGTTCCTTTAATTCTACATAACGTGACTTCCTCCCTTACGCCACGTCGTTTCTATAGTAACAGCGACGCGTTATGAAACCCGTTTGTTTATTATATCAGCATGACAAGCGACATTAATTAGACAAGCGACATTAATTAAACAAGCGAAATCTCAAACACGCGAATGACAGACACAAACGCGACGCCTGTCGTAAAATGTTCCGCGACACGTTCTCCAGCCTAGAAAGCAGCACAACGTCCTTGTGGGAGTATCGTTATATATCAGGGGTGTGACAAGCATGTGTTCGCATTATAATATAACCCCAAAAGAGTAGTTACTAACCTATATATACAGGAATAAATACGAATACAATGTTCAAACACGCCGACAATCCCCGCGCTACACTTGCAAGGTCACACGGCGCAAGAAAAACACAAGCGACTTCGGTAAAAGCGTTAAAACGGGACGTCCTGGTATACAAACGAGGCCAACTTGTTCGCTACGGATACTTTTAAGTGTGCTAAGCTTATAAACGAGACGGGGACGCTGGGGCGTTTTTAAACCAAACTCGCGTGAAGAGATCGATTTGAGCTCATATAAATGTTATTATCACTCACTCCGATACAAGCCAGTGGCCTTGCTTCTGTTTCAGGCCGTTCGCTTTGCTCTCAATCTGTTGCGTAGGGCCTGCAAGAAACAATATCTGTTAATACGTAACGCCAATAACCATATTAAATAGAAGCACGTGGTTATTCTTAAATATCTACTATAATAGCGTTAAATAAATGCACCATCTATATTGTGACCTGATGTGTAACGTTATGCACGCTGGTTAACTTGTACCTGTTCTCCGTTGTGTAACAAGTTTGCTGGGACCTCTGGTTATTGTGTACATCATGTGAGAGACGGCCTCTGAGGAACCCCTGCGGCACGATGGATCCACGCGAGGTCTACGGAGCGGTCCGCGCGAATGTCACGGTTATATGCACGCCAGAAAACGTGAGGCGATCCCGCTTCACGACGGAGCTCTCTTGACGCAGCCACCGTGGAAATGAGCCGTGCAGCCGGAGGACTTCAGCGCCGTGTGTTTGCTTGCAGCGAGCCTATATAAGGTCAGTCAAGGTTAAGAGCGTGTATTGCCCTGATTACGCGTCGGGGGGTCACTCGCGGAGAGTCCGGTGCGCTGGGAAGCTTTCTGAGCTCTGGTTGGGTCTGGACTGTTACTGCAATTTCGGACGTTCAGATCGCAACCTTCCTCCGAGACGTCACGGCACGCCCCCGCGACGCACACCCGGGGTCACCTTTCACCTAGTCACCCTGTGGACACCGTCTAACCGGCTCTGTGTAAGTTACCATCTAAACACGGGCTTCATCATGCCGCCAAGCATACAACTGATGACAAACGACCGCGCGATAATGATAAAGTCAGGCTGCGCAGTGTTGCCAGCTAATTTTCAGGATAAGTTACTTAAAGCAGGACTTACGATTTACGAGTCGCTTCGGATAAAGGCGTCTGTTGAATGACTTAATGTAAATGACGTTGTGACGTCATTACGTAATCACGCCGCAAGACTGCACACAATACACGATCTCTGGGGGCTGTTTCATAAAACAAGTTTACCAAACAAGCCTGGCTTATTTCAGTTGGTCAGACTTCATTTGAACCAAATCAATGGGCAATAAGTCAGACTTAACTGAAATAAGCCTGTCTTGTTTGGTAAACTTGTTTTATGAAACAGGCCCCGATCACTCAAATCTCAGCAAAAAGAAATATGATTATGAATACGATTTGAAATGTTAATTTAGATTTGTTAGTAAAACTAAAAAATAAACAGAATAACATTAAAATATAAATAATATCATTTTTTTTATGTTTAAATACAATGAATTATTGAACATTTACACATTTTATGTATTTTACATTTAGTCATTTAGCAGGTGCTTTTATCCATTCTCTTATTAAAACTACACATTATGAACAATTATATTTTTAAGCAGCGCACTGGTAGTTAGTATGCTACACTTTCAGAAAAGTCTGTAAAATATGGCACAATGTATTGTTAATTTGAAGGAATTTTCTGTATTGATTTTACACAGGTTTTTTTTTCTTTTTTTTTACCTGAATTTAAAATGATGCCTTGTATTTTGTGTTTTCAGGTTAACAGATAATGTCCTGACAGAAAATTACCAGTACCTATTTTATTTTTCTACATATTTTTTAAACAACCTGATCAACAAGTGCAGGTACAAACTAATAACAAGGTGTTATCATAAATGAACAATTATTATTAAACAATTGCAACTAGCAACTTAATCCATGTGATTGAAATCCATGATTCCCAGTCCTCAGAACTGTGTGCCTTTTTATTATTTACAGTCACAGTTGCTAAAAGTTGCCAAATATATTTTAAAAATAGCTAAATTTGTTGCTAGGTGCTTTTTGAAGAAACAGTTGTTAGGGTAGTCTGAAAAGTTAAGAAACGTGTGCGCTGCTATGACGCTTCACGCACCACGTGGAAACCATGCGCTCTTGTGTAAAATCTAAACATCTGTTCCTTCATGTCCGCAAACATATTAAACTGATTAAAGTGTACAGTAAGACCAGCGCGCATTAAAGACCACGGGTTGCGTAAATGTGCGCAGCTGCGACGCGCTTCACGCACCACGTGGGAACCGGCCAGGCTTTACTTGGTACACATTAACAGCTTGTGTGGGTCAAACCATACGGTTAATCTCGCTAATCTTCGATGGAGGTACTGAAGTTACACCTCTCACTCTTTAAACTAATATGATTGATTACAAGAAAAAAGAGAGAAAACCCCGTCTGAGGTGATTGTTACACAACAACGGTTGTACAACAGTCCTTGAAATGCAACTATTGGGACAAAACGGCTGTTAATTAAGAATTTAATAGTTTTATTTAAGTATTGCCACCAGAGAAAACAGAAACATGCCACATTTTGAAGTAATCCTGAATTAGTATTTATGTATCCAACGTAAGGTTGGTGTTTGATAGCTGCCTGAGATCTTACCTCAGATCAAGATCTATTGCTTATACATGTCTTGCCCCCTCTTAAAGTAGGTATAACTACAGAATGATTTACATGTAACTTGTTCATTAGCTATCAATACCAGACTTTTAAACATGAAATGAACCCAAATAGGAAGGAATACACAACTATCTCTCTTTCATGAATGAGAGAAAAGCGCACATTAGCCTAAATAGTTTGTAGCTACGCAATTTTTCCAATGCTGTTTCTACACAAGTAGCATTAAAAAAGTAGCAGGTCTACTGAATAAATTCCCCTTACTTTCCTCAAACATGTCCTTCAATGAATTATGACATTAAAATGGAAATAAAATAATGACATACTATCTATATTGTCAAATTGGCTCACCTGAGTGGGTGTGTACAGTACATTAGAACACTGATATTTACATCTCCCGTATTATAAATTTCACACAATGAAAGCACTCCATTACCCTGTAAATTTCAAGTCTCTACTGCATGCTGCCTAAATCAGTGCAATTCATTACAGACACATACTTCAATATTTTGAGTGAAGCAGAACAGTGTAGTTGCTTGAATTATAAAAGTTAAACTTAAACTAGTGCTTGTACAGTGTGGCGTTTCAGTAGTGAGGTACACAGTCCTCTACGAGACTGTCAGTGATGTAGTTGATCTTCAGTAGTTGCTGGTAGTACTGCTTCTCCACAGCCGTGTTCACCGTCCAGCCCACCACCTCTACGCCTCGGGCTGCCCAGTACTGCACATAGTCTCTAGGGAAAAAACAGTGAGCATTTTATAGTGCAATACACACTCCTATACTGTAGATGATTAGATCAGCTTTGAACGTTCTTATACTGATCCATATACCTGCTCTTGACATTTTTTTTTTCTCAAAAAAATGCATTTATTGTATAGAGTGCTGCAGGAATGAGTTGTAAAACCCAGAAACGGATTAGCATTTTCCGTTCCATTGTCCTGAAGTCAATGTTGTTGTTTTTTTTAATGTTTTTTTTGGCTAAATGCCTGAAGTAAGGTTTGTGGTAAACACAAGCTCAAGATATCTATCTATCTATCTATCTATCTATCTATCTATATA